ACTTCATCATATCACCTTGGTCACTATGTGACGGTCTGGCGGGTTTGCGTTGCGAGCTCCTGGGCAAAGCGGAACTTAATTGTTCCTCTACTGGACCGGCGAAACACATACATTCAGAAAATACCTTACCACAAACATGCGAATTTTATCATTGAGCAATAGTGCAACTAACGAGGGAACTTAATGTTAAGTAGAAAGTAGGAGTAAATAAACCATAAGACTCCCCGTAGTGAATCAGTTTCCTGACCAGGGACAGAACAGTGTTCCTTGGAGAGGAACAGAGGATAGAATAACATCTACACTTTGAAGATGCACCTACCGGCTCTTGAATCCCAGGTGGACTCGTCTGCCTCCACATGAGAAATGGTGGTGGTGGCGGTGGTGTCCACGGTAGAGGCTGTTGTCGCGGCTGCGGACGATGATTTCGCGCTGTCCTGTCGTCGGCAGGCCAAGAGTGGGTGGTTGGAGGAAAAGGGAGGCAGGAAGGAGTCCGCACGCAGGTGCCACTGACCCATAGGCAGGCACTTGAGTTTAATGGGACTGTCCTACAATAGCAGAAGACAAATTTATGTGGAGTTGTAGACCACAGCTATACAAGTGGGCAATTAGTACCCGCCTTTCATTCGTCCCTAATTGCAAAAAAGATCCCATGAAAAACAAACGTGAAAGGCATTTACAACTGTAAACGACCAAAGGGTAGTGGGTAGTGTAGGGCCATTGTAATAGCATGTTACTAAATGATTCGAAACAGTCTGTCACTTGTACCTTCTACATTATAAGCAGTGTAGGGCTTTCAAACCAGGCTCTGTTCCTTCGTACGGACTTCAAATTTAGCCATTTAAGGACGTCGATGTCGACGAAGAGAAGCGAATTTTGTGGGATTGGAGTAAGTTATAAAGACTGAATTCTTTTGCTGCCTGTTTCGCAGACGCCTAATTGGGCGACTGATTGACAAGTTCCTTCATATGCACATGTTTCAACGGTTATTACGCAGCAGAAACAGCACTACTGTTAGTATGACTAGTATACAGTTTTCGGGGAAGTTGAACCTTGGCAGTTTGTATTCATCCAGAATTTAAATTGCCCATATTGAAGACTTCGGAATTAGACATTCACTTTTTTAAGAAGAAGGCGTATGGAAAATCAGGTAAAGAAAGCAACAATTAAGAACCGAAGTAACATTTAGCGGCGTAGCATAGGTCAGAATACTAGAAACCGTTGTTGGGTCTGAAAAGACAGAAGTTCTCTAATGCTATTTCAAATTAATGGGCCAGCTAATTTCTACCACATGTGTTCTGCCGTAAGGTTTCAGACCCTTTAAACAGCGACAACTGGCAGCATGATTCACTCGGAGTAAGTTGACAATACTTATAGTAAAACGGGGGGCACAACTTAGCCAAACAAAATAAATGAACGCTGAGAGGAGTGCAGCTCATATTAGGGTTTACTTAGGCATCGGAAGGATGGCGAGAACACAGTAGAGAAGATTAGTGTCTCCAGAAAACCCAGCACGCCGTAAAAAATGGAAGATGTGGCGGGATTCGTCAAAGAGACTGGGGCCAAGTTACATCGG